TCTGCAAGTCACATAGGACTCTTCACTGAAACCATAGATAGATAAAGATTTTATTAAAACTTATTCAATAATAATTTTATGTAGATATTAGTACTTGTTAATGTCAATTTTATGCAGAATGATTTCTGATAAAAGTAGGTAAGTAGAGACAATGGAAAAAATGTTCACCCAAAACTCAAACCTGAAAGAATTTTATCCACTATACCTTTTAAGATGGGCATATACTGTGCGATTTCTTTCAATCGTTGCACGCAGCTACTGCCCACACTCTACGACTAACTGCAGGGTTTCGCAAGTTCACAGCTAACGATTTATGTCCGGCCCGATGCTCCAATGCGATATACCTGCTCACACTGTACACCTAAAAACCTCGTCGGACTCAGCTCCACAGTGAGATGGCGCCACTCTAACTCGTCTATCCGGAAACAAAATGAGTGGAAGAGGAATATGAAGCTCACTAGAGTGAAACGCTGCCTTGGCAATTTGAGCAATTTTGTGCTGAAAACCTGAGAAGAAAAGGCGAGGACATAATTGAACAAAGACATGGCTACTATGGTCTGTCAATTTTACAGAAAAAACTCCATTTCACTTGAACCCCTGCCATGCTTCTGTGTTTACATCTGAGAGGAAGAATAAAAAAAAACGATCCTTCTTTGCACATGCACCCTGAGCGATGCATGATGACGGTCGGCAGAAAATCAAGCAACCTCACGATTCCTGATCGGGAGGTGGTCGTGAGAGGCTGACCAATGTAATCCCTGTACACTTCAAGACGCACAATCAGGCTGAAAGTCGGCCCAATCTAAAGATTCTCGCACGACTGGAAAATCTCCCCAAATTCGCACAGTATACGCCCGGCTTTATCTAGAAAGCATGGATGTTTGAATATATTTGTCTATTTGTTAGCAAAGGCTGTATAGTTTGTCTTTATTTAGAAAATATGAATGAGGTTGTGGTGCCTATCTACTTTCAGCCACCCCTCAGTGTACACTGGTTGTTGCCTGGCCACCCTTATAAAACTTTTCTGGCTACGCCTCTGGAAGGGGGCGTCTCCAATGTGCAGGACAGTGGACCCTGTGTGTCAGGATCAGGCTCCACGCATAAAAGCAAAACTGTAGATTTTTATTTTATTTTCATTACATTTTGCAATTAATTCAAACTCTACAAAGCTACACGTGTTGGACTCAGAGCACAAAATCTCAGCCAAATCTGTGAGAGCAGCAGCTGCTCTCTGGGCTCACAGGATCAGTTCTAAATGAAAATGCTTGTATATTTACCCTGGATACGTTGAGGTCGGTCATCAGCTGCTCAAAGGCCCGGGTCTCCTCAGCTTGCTTCTGGTTGTGCAGCGCGATCTTCTCGCTGAACTTCCTGGGGTTGGAGCCACCTGTGCCCGCGGAGCCGGACATTGTGCGGGCCGCAGTTTTTCAAACTTTACCGAGGGGAAACAAAAGTGGAGGACGGTTCCGGAGAGATGGAGCGGGAGCTTTATGATCTTCCAAGACCTATCTGAGAACGCCCCTGCAGATCCATTAGAGTCCCAATAAACCCTCCGCACATGAGCGCCAGAACCAGGTTGCCGCAAACTGATTTAGTTCGGCTCTCCGGGCTAATGCGGCTAAGCTAACGTTAAGCTGTCATAAAAGTTGTCAATCGATGACTTACAACAGAATAGATTAAAACTCCCTTTCTAGTTGCTTGAAAATCACGCTGTAGTTTCGAGAACAGACAGGAAACACCGACGGCAACTTATCTGCGCATTTAACTTCATTTTAGCGCTTTTCCACAAACTAATTGTCTGAACGTTAAGATGATGTTAGCATGTTATTGCTAACATATGAACGAACAGCGGCAGCTAACCTGTTAGCTAAGCTGCTGGTCGGACCATCTCTTTAATTGTTTACAATTTATCCCTTTTTCGTATCCTGTGTGCTAAAAGGAAACTGGAGTTAATAACGCCGTCAGCTAAATGTTGAGACAAACAGCAAAGCGTAAACAGTGTTTCAACAAGTGTCCGTTGGTCCCGCATTCATTGAATTTCTACTTTATCCCCCCCAAATGAGAGCAACCAGCCCCCAACTGAGCGAAACAGTCCACGCTGATAGTTGGATAGATATATCTGAGGTCTCCGGAGAAGAGGCGAGTACCGAGTTAATCCACGGACAGCGCGGAGATCTGAGACAAACTCCAGTCCGACGACTCCATGAAGATAAAGCAGCTCTGAGGGACAGGCTCGTTTTTTTGTTTTTTTCCTCCCCACTACCAGACTTTAGTTCTTTATAATTTCAGAAAAGTCCGCAGATTTCCTTTAGCTAAAGAGTACAGGAATGACGGAGCCAGGAACGGCGGTGAGATCCACAGGCTTGTTATTCCCAATACTACTGCTGCTGCTGCCTGCGAGAAAAACATTACCTTGTTAAACACAGTCAGTACTGCCGGTGGCCACACGAGGGAGACAAAGTTACCCAGCCGATAGTATCTTGGATTATTAACCATTTCACGGTTGGATCACAAGATTGTTTTTTTGTTTGTTTCTTTTTTTCCTGTTTTCAGCCTGATCTTTAGGCATGGAAATAAAATTTTGAATCCGTGAAATGGCAGAAAAAAGAAAAAGCTTTATCTTCATTTTATCACTTTATACTCTTTCCAGTTCCTGTCCTGTTAAACCCTTGTTGAGTTATTTGCTCTTATCTCTTCAAAAATAAAAAATAAAAATAGATAAAGCATTAACATAGAGATACACAAAAGGAAATTAGGGCAGAATTTATATTAAGTTAATTAAACGTTATTCAAATATCAACGCCTACACTTTGTTTTTTAATCAACAAAATACTGATTTGTTTACACTTTTAAATACTATTACTTAAGTTAAAAAGAAACACATCCTTTATGAAGTGCTGCATAGTACCTTGTTCCATTTATGACAGGAAAGCTTGGACTTATAACTCTCACCTGTGAGATCTTTGATTTCAGCTGATTAAGACACACCAAGGCTTTGCGTTCGGTCAAAAATCAGGTGTCTGACCAGGATTTTGTGTATATTTTTTTTATCCAGATAGATTAACTGTTACATGTTGAGTTATTGGATTGCTGAGTCCATTTCTGCTTTGGATTTAATGGGATTTTTTTAAGCACCTTTGGGTACAACAAATAATGTCTTGGTGGATTTTATGGAGAGCTAGAAAGGTAATGATCTGGCATAGCATCCCCAAGCCATGAAACGTCCACATCCATGTCTAACAGCAGGCAGAGGTTCTTGTCCTGTAAAGCTCTGTTTGGACACCAGAACATGTCCTCCAACATTTCAGTTGTAGACTCATCTGTTAAAAGAACATTATCCCATTAAGCTTGATATGAGTCTCCAGTCTCTCTGATATACTTCAGTCTAACCTTCTTGTATTTCTTAAAGGTTAAACATTTCCCCTGTGCACACCTCCACTGAAATCTCAATTTAAGTTCCTTTTTTTGTGCTGTAGAAATGCGCTCACATATTAAGAAAACCAGCAGACTTTTATAGGTCCTCTGATGACATATTAGGTGTTTTGTAAACTTTATTTAGCCTCTGATAGTCTCCTTTTAAGGCAAAATTGCTTAACAGCTGCAGTTGAGTATTGTTAGAGTTGTTGTAAATGTACCTCCAATTGTAGACTATTTGCTTTTCATTGACATGATTGATTTCAAATGTTTGGGAACCTGATTAAAGGGTTTACCAATCTGATAACCTTCTATAATCTTCCTAATTCCCTCACTCAGCTTTCCAGATCTCTCTGCTATCTCACACTTCAGCAGCCATGAAATGTCTGAGGTTAAAACAAGGAAAACCTTCTCATTCTCATTTTAAGCAAGGGTGTGCCAAATGTATTCATTGACAGTAATGCAACAATCTGTCGCTACAAGCAAGAACCAGAGGAAGAGGGCTCTGTCTGCTGGCAAAGCCTCAGCTCCACAGCCATTATATTCTATTCTGAAGCACATTTATATCACTGCTAATGGTGTCACCAATTTTTTTAAATTGATACTGGATCCACTACCCCACCTGCAAAGCATAAAAAAAAACAACTGTTCAATCATTGACATTGTCAAAATAATCTAGCTTTTGTAAGAAAACATCATTACAGTCCAATTCTAAAAAAAAGCTTGCGGATGTTTGGGATTTTTTTTTTTTTTATAAATTGACAGTGACAGTATAGGTGTCAAAAAGCACAGCATCCACACTGCAGGCAGCTATTTAAAAGACAAAAGTTTATGTTAGTTCTTAAATGAAGGTACATGTATTCCATTTTAGGGTACGTTTAAGCCAGGAAACATCAAAGACATTAAAGCCCCCGTGTCCCATATGACTTAAATACCCCATGGTGTAGAATGTGAAACATACTTCTTGTTGAACTGCAGCAAGCACAAACAACCACATTGCACTGCAGGAGCTTTATTCTAAAACAGGTAGAGTACACATCAGACTATGCATCAGGACATAATCCCACACTGTTCAGATCCACGTCATCCTCTGGTAACTTTATACAGGCTGAAAACTGAACAACCACATAATGAAGTCAGCATAGTCAGGCCAAAGCGATCTGAATGCTTGGAAAAACTTTGTGGAGTACTGCGCCATCTGCTGGAACCCCTCCCACCCCTTAATTAATGTAATACTGCACATCCTTAAGCTCATGCAGGACATCCGTCTCAGGCTTTGCAAACATAAGCTATCGTTCATTAGAAACTGACAACATATAAAATATAAATAAAGACAAATTTGATGCATTTTGAAGATGTTTGAAAAGAAATTAAAGTTCCGTTCAAGATACAACAGAGTCTTTGCAAAATCAGCAGACATGTCCTCATTGCAGCAATCATAGACCCATTTTGATTGTAGAAGATAAATGGGCTAAAGTGGATAAATATTCAAATATATATATTATATATACTACGAGCTGGATTAAAGGAGCATGATGTTAATTTGTCATGTCCATAGTCCATTCTTCCCAAAAAAAAAAAAAAAAAAAAAAGGGAACAATCAAATAGAACAGCAAAATTAAAAATAAAAAAAAAAACCTAAAAATATTGAAACTTTAGATATTGGGTGAATGTCTTATAAAAAAAAAAAAAAATCAAATACAATAGAATAATTTCCTCAAAAGTTTAAATTGCACGGCAAAGTAAACAGTCCAATTTACCCCCTCAAAAAAGAAAAATCTGTTTTTATTGTAAATCTCTCTTAGGAGCAACAGAGGCATGAGATCAGTACAGGTAAACGCCTGGACTTTAACATGCTGCTAAGTACTTTACTACTGATGCTTAGATCTCTATATATCATATGGTAATCCGACAGCTGACAAGGAAACAAAGTGTTTTTACATAGAAGGATCTTTAAAATAATCCCCATGCACAAAATTTTCAGAATAATACAAGCAAAAAAAAAAATAAAAAAAACATACAAATCTCACTTCCTGCAGCTATCCAATGAGATGCATGGAACAAAAATGGACATAAGAGCAGATGTGGAGATAAACCTGATATAAAAAATAATGCACAGGAATTTGCATAGGCAGAAATGAGAGGTGAAGTAGAGAAGGGGCTTTAAAGCAGCCCTTGGGTTCGGTTGTTTCGTTTCAGTGTCTGTAGCTCTTTGCTCCTTCTCATTTTTTTTTTATTTTCCATAAAATTTCTTGTTGAGCAAGAAGATGAGCAGGTTGACGTTTACAGTGGCCTTGTCGAAGAGCTTCATCACCGCCACGCCTTCATACTGCAGCTGGAGGAGGTCCTGGGAGACATGACGAGTGAGAGAGAGATGAGCAAAAGATTAAGCTTACTGATAAAAGTTTCTTTTTTTTCCCCATACAAAGTTTGAAAGTTTTCTTTAACAAAGACATCGAATGTTTACAAAATGCCTAATTGGTACAAAATACCAATTAGACAACCGGATTCTCACAGCTCCACCTACATGGATGATATTTACCTGATATTCTATCGGTAACGTCTCCAAGTGCACGCCCATGAACTTGGCCTTCACGTCAAACACACCAACAGTCTCCGAAGGAGAGATCTCGAAAATAGCATTCTTGTACCTGTAGTAGGAAAACAGATTCAGTCAGAACTCACAGCTGATTTGCAGCAGTAGAAAAGACGCAGTCATGTTTGCTCATCCATTAAAACTGCAAGTGTTAAAGAGGAGGAATCGTGTTGGAGTTCAAGACTCACTGGTTGGGCTGCAGGTCATCTATAGAGATCAGCACTCCCTTCTCATGGAGCCGAGCTGCTGTGTATTTCTGTGAAACCTGCTTACTCTTCTTGGCCTTGTTGTCGCCTGGTTTCTTTGACAACCTAAAAGCAAAAAAACAAACAAAAAAAAGGATTTTTTACAAGTCCATAAAGGTTTTTCTTTGTTTGCTTTGTTTTAAAGGTAGATTCTCCGTCTATATGTTTTTACTATAGATTTAGTTTTGAATTTTGAAACTCCTCTGTCAGGTTGATAGTTTGTTGCAGTGAAACAGTAAAGAAAGAGCAGAACTTCTTGTTAATTTAGCCACTAGAGTCGCTTTTTTTTCAAGCTTAAAAACCAAAATCTCACAAAACATGTTGATTGTAGGAGGAATATATAGGCACATTTGTTAATTTCACCGTTGTAAGCTGCTCCTTCACTGTTGAAAAGCTGTATGCATGGAAATTTCCTTTTGTATACACTTTGTTTATACAACATGACAAAGTTTGTTTAAGTCACATAGCTGATGACCAGCAGGAGGTCAATATGAGCTTATGCATAATTCAAAATTAGATTAATTCTGTCACAAATATTTCTCTGAAAAAATTAAGGAACCAGACTGAAAATGAAAGAAAACTAAAAAGAAACAAATTCCCCAAAAGTCAGACTTTCAGAGAGTTTAAAATAAATATAAATGCATTTTAAAAAGCTTCAAGGAAAACACATTTTCAAGAGATACTATCTTTCTGACTGGGATGGACTGGCGACCTGTCCAGGGTGTACCCAGCCTCTCGCCCATTGATTGCTGGAGATAGGCACCAGCACCCCTCGCGACCCCAATTGGGACAAGCGTGTCAGATAATGGATGGATGGATGGAATATCTTTCTGAAGTGGTTTAAATTTTTTGCACGTTTTTTACATTAAACTACCTCCCTGTAATATAAAGCAATGCAAGAAAAGCAGATCAGCTCCATTTCATCCTTTCTCCTAAAAAAGGTAATTACATACGGTAAATAGCGAATGAACAGAAAAATAAATATAAATAACCTTACCAGCTAGAGAACATAAACACATACCGGTAGTTTGATAGAAAAACATGATTTTCATATTTGTGCATCAAATAAATAAACAAAGCTTTCTAAGCAGGATATAAATCCGTAAGCAGTAGAAGACATAGATGAGGACTGGTTTGCTTTCTAAACAATGGCCGAGTTTCTTTTTAAAAATGAAAAAGTTATGATTTTAATCGACTCCTCTCTCCTACTCCTATCTTAAACCTGCCAGTGCAACGCTGACCAATCATAAAACCTACAAATAACATTAAATGAATCAAGTCCACTCACTTGCCCTTGCTGGCCAGGTTGTCCATGCATGTCTTGATGTACTGATTGTAAGAATCTATCTGCATGTTGAAAAAGGTGGTTTTTGAATTCAGGGCCGAGTTGGTTTGCTGAAGCTTCACCAGCTCGGCTTTCCTGCGCTGCCGATACCGTCTCTGATTCCTGATATCCTGTGGGGGACATACAGATACATACATTGAATCAATGAGGAGGTTGTTATTTCAAATGCAGACCTCTTTAGAACAATTGTCTATGTTTTATTTTTTTTTCAAAACCTTGGCAATGTCGTTGATGAGGTCCTGGTAGCGGTTCTCTGGGTGGACCTTTCCAAGTTCTGCCAGTCTCTGCAGGTTGCTCTTTATTTTGTCCTTCTTCCCCTGCAGGGTTAGGCTGTCATCAACCACCGGCTTCACCTGCTTCATCTTCTCTGGGGTTTTTGCATCCCTGATCGCCCTCCTTTGCATGGCACGCTGGTACTCTGCTTCCTGAAAACACAAACCATAACAATAAGGACCCAAAATACTAAATAGAAAATAGACAATTCCTTTATTGTCTCACAATGGGGAAATTCTAGTTTCTAAAGGAAAAATGTTAAGCTTGGTATTTTTCTTACAGGTATTCTTTGTTTATAATGGGCAAAAAAAAAAAAAATACAAAAATCTTTCAGCCTTTCAACAATTGTAATAGTTGCATTACAAATATAGGCCTACACCCAATGTAATATTTGGATTATTGTCTGTTTGCAAATTTCAACTTGGTTAAACCACCATCAACCAGACTCTTGCTGGTTCATGGCTTCTGACCAGCCATGAACCAACAACCCAGTCAAGGAGAGTTAGTAGACCTCATTCATCATTCATAAACTAAATGGTTTTCTGGAATGGAGTTGACTTTTAGCTTGTATGGAAGGCCTTTCCAGAAGCTTATTGTTAGCTTTTCAAAGTTTCAGATGTGTGTTTGTTGATCCACGGCTAAAATGAAAAACTCCTCAGGTTTTATTACTCCATCAATGGTGAAAAAAAAATTACATTCCTACTGGTACAGAAACAGCCCACCTTCATGACTCCACCACCATCATGTACAGTTGGTACAGCGTTCTGAGGCCTGAAAACCTGACATTAACTAGTCCAAACACACTACTAGTCACCAAGGCAAACATCCCAATCTTTGTCTTTTCATCTGGGAATTACTTTGACAACCTACTTCACATTTGTTCCAATCCTGCTTTTGTTTCTTAACCATCCATTTGGCACCCTCTTCCGTCTAATGCGTTTACAGTATCTGACTTTGAATCAGTATTGGGGCTGTTATCCGTTACTGTGATGTCACCCAGAAAAAGTATCTGCTATTTGTCTCCCACATGCCTCCATAGCCACTTGGAGCTGATAGATACAAAAGCGTAGTTTTAGCTGTTTATTCTGATCTCCATATAACTTATCATCTGAGGCTACTACAGCCTGAAGTGACCCAAATCCTTCTTTCTTTTTGCCCATATGCAACCTGTACCTTAGCTTTTCATGGCAGTCTGAACAACACAGATCTGATTTTTTTCCAATGCAAACCTGAATCCGATATTTTCAAATGCGACCTGTGTCTGAACGGCCAGGTTGCATTCATCTGACCAGAGCGTCATTAATACACAACAAAGGTCACTATTCTGCTTCTTGCTACACAGAAGCAGGAACAAAAACAACAACCATAACGGGCAATAATGTGGAGAGCAGTCTTTTTCTTAACTGTCTTGAAAAGACTGAGTTGTTAAGGTTGGGAAAGATAACTAGATGCGCTCCAGCACTACCATCCATGTTTACTTCCATAAACACAGAGCACGTTTGCTTGTGACGTCATTGCGTCCCCTAATGCACATGTGGGACACTTACGTTGTATGAATGCAATTCACACAGGAGATCACATACAAGTCGCATATATTTGGAAATGTGAACAGCAACGAAAAAAAACAAACAAAAAAAAGGGATTAAGCATTAAGGCCTGCAGTGTGAATGTAGCCTAAAAGTCTGAAAACAAACTACTTCTATGAAGTGTTCCACTATTCTAGGGTCAGATGCCTCTCTGGGAAGAATGTCCCAACAAAACATCCGGACAGCAGTATTCCAGAAGCTTGACGGCTACAAATAGTAAATTACTTGATTTTTATGGATGAGGGTATTTGACCAAATATAAGTGGAGGTAAAAAAGGTAATTAAGCAACCTTTGATCAAGTAATGATTAGGAAAAAATAAAAAAAGAACTAAACACCTACAGATTCTAGTTTTGATAAGAACTGTAGTTTAAAGCAGCCAGACTGGATGGTTTTAACAGTTCGAGCTTATTAAAAAGTTCTTCTTTGGATTAGCCTGATCTCTAAAATTGCTTTCAGACTTGAGAGCAGCCTGAGTAATTAAGAAACTAAACAACGAAAGATAATGCATTAGTTTAAAAATAGAAAAACAAGAAGATATTTCATTAAACATAAGATGTTCAACACTTCGTGAACTGATTTGGTGTAAATCTACAGTAGATGGACAGTATAATGAATGTCACTCATGGTACTGTAGAAGAACCAAACGAAAGACTTTCTTTGGGTCAGGAATTTAAAATTTTTCAAAAAGAGGATGTTGTCAAAGAGATGGGAAGTGCAACTCTATTTGAACTTGATCAGTCACAAAGTCAGCATTTATTTTTAACCATATTGGAAAAACAAGTTCCCGTTTTGTGCCCTAAGGTAACACTGTAGTTTTCTAATCTAATCATAGAAAAACTCTGTGGATGAGGTGTAAAGCTGGGCACCCTATAATAATGACTCTACTCGCATGTTTCTGACCTGCTCCGGAGAAGCTGTTGAATCCAAGATCTCAGTCAGGGTTTCCCCGGGCTGGAACCGGATGACGTCTACGATGAGCCTCTTGGTGCTAAAAACGACAAACGATAGATCAGAATGGTTCTGAATAGACATCAACAGATCTACCTGTTGGCACCAGACCTACTTCAGCAGGAGTGTCCTGGCGTCCATCTCGGTGTTGGCTTCACCAGGGACATCAAACTTGTTGGTAAGAGTCAGCGAAACCTCCGTCTTCCCCATCAGCTCTTTGTTGGGATCGTCCGGAGGAAGAGGATTTTCACCTGAGGTGGTGCCAATAGGGGCAGAAAGGGTCAGTTCAGAGTCTATTTTACTAGTCACCATCTCCACCGTAAAGCAGTCAGTTTATTTTAGCCTTAATAATAAGTAATTACTTGAAATGTAAATTTTGGAACAAACCAGCTAAAGGCATGAAATGAGATTGAACCCAGAATGCTGCCAAACAAAGGAATTAAAAATTGGAGAGGATTTGTAAATTAGCCTGACGTGGCTATGATGAACTCAATAACTGCATAACGAGCAACTTACTCGATAGGATAAATTCTAAAAACATTTTAACATCACAAGATATTCTTAAATTTCTAGTACAGAGTCTGTGGGTTGCCTGTTTCAACATGAACGGTTCTAATTGGAAAGAAAAGAAATACTTAAGTTTCTGATGCAAAGAAATTGGGGAGTCAAAGTACCTAAAACAGACTTTGACACTGTATTTAGATAAACCTCAAGGTTAATTATTGTGCTTTTCTGATGCTGCTGGATTGAAACATCAATTGCCCCAATTCTCTAACCAAAGATAACCCTCTACAATTACCTGCTTAGACGTACCGGCCACACTGCAGCTTAAAATCAACTAAGATTCAAAGAGGTTACATTTGATCTAAACTAAAACGGCAATCCTGCTTTCCTCATATTGTTACTGTTATTTTGACCGTCCGCACTCACCAATGAGAGACTCCACAGTGGGAACCTCGCCCAGGTCCTCCAGCAGCTCATGGATGGGGTCATTGTGCTCTGGAGCAATGGCGTCCTGGTGGTCCAACAGCAGCTAATGGAACACAAGACATTGCTGTTTTAATCAAAACGCCTAAGAAAATTTTAAGTATTCAGAATTGCGTGATCTTAACCTACAGTGTGAGTGTTTATGATCTCTCCAATTGAGATATAGATGACTGGTTTGGTGACGGTGACCAGGTCTGAGTACTGGTCCACATTAAATTTATCTTCAAGTGAATGAACATCGCATGCAGCCAAAAAGAAACGCCTATGATAGAAAGGGGAAAATATCATTAAATAAAATCAGGGGAAAAAAAGCCAAGGCAACACATTCAACTGTAAATATTCATTAACATTTCAGACCTGAACTTCTGGTAGGAGGAGGTGAGATATTCATTGATGGGATTGAGGTGAGCGTTGTCTCCCAGGAACATCTTGTTGGACGCAGCATGTTGAAGCATCTTGGCAACAGAACCCAGGTTTCTTCTCTGCTCAGTTGTGAGCTGACCACCAGCAGACACCTCAATAATGTCAAAGGCATCTGGTGCCACAATGGCAGGGTTCATGTAGCGGTAATACAAAAGGTTCCCCACAATCTGGAAAGTGCATAACTAAATGGGTCAATCCCTTTAAATGATAACGCTCAATGAAAGCAGCATAGTCACACACTTTAGTGTTAAAATCATTTGATAATCATAAGATAATCGTATTAGAATTTAAGTAGAAAACAACTGTGTTCACATTTTTTTCCTCCATTTTAGAAACCTTTTAGCACAATTATGAGAAGATGCAGAAATTAGTACGAGATAGAGATCAGCATGAAAAGAAAGCCTAAAAGGGTGGCATGGCTCACCTTAATATCAGCAGAGATTAGAGGGGCAGCAGAAAATCGGCAAAGAGAGACTGGAGCTGGTTGGAAAGGTGGAAGGAAAAGGGCAACACCAAGAGAAAGAAAAGGAAAGAGATGTATAACAAACAAGAACTGGAAGGACACGGGCATGGAAACGGTTTAATGAGTGGCACCAGTGAGGAAAAATGATGGGCTGGAGCAAACGGGCCAATTAAACACACTTCACATAAAATAACCTAAAAGTTAATATTCACGTTGAATACTGTGATTAATGCCAGCATTAGCATTATAACACACAGTTTGTTATTAACATATAATGATTCACAGTTTGTCATTGTAATACATGTGAAACATTAGCAAGTCAGCATCTATAGTTGATAATTGTGATTAATGCAAACATTGGCTTACAGGCTTCAACGGTTGACTACAGATCTATTAGTATACCATCATCCATAGTTTGTTTTGACTAATGGAAACATTAGTATGAAAAATCCACATTTAATTACAACTGACGTTAAGATTCTCACATCCGTTGCTAATTATTGTGATAAATGCCCACATTAGCATGCAGGCATCATAATACACACCCTTATAATTATTCAATGTTAATAATGCATACATTAGTTCCAAAAGAGTTAAAACAATACAATGGACTTGTGTCCAAGTTTGAATTAGTATACTAATGCTTAGAGTTTATTATTATGATTGACTTCAGGGGGCCTGCAACTATTTATTGTCATATTGGTTGGTGCTAAAATTTGCCTTTCACTGTCAGAGGTGGGTAGCAACTAGTTAAATCTACTCTGTCACATTTACTTAAGTAACTCACTTTTCAATGTACTGTACTCACTATGGGTAACTTTACGTCCCTCACACCTAAAAACAACCATGATTTTAACCTAAAATGCAGCACACACAGGTATAGTTTTAGTTTCACTCAAATTAGTGTTTTTTTTTTATACAGAATTTTTGTGTTTTGATTTTACATTTATCTGCTAAAATATGTATGGTATGGAGGTTAAGGCAATATACAGTATAAAGGATATGTTGTTTCTGTAGTTTGTTTACCCAACTCTGTCATTCAGATTCAAATGTTATGACGATTTTGAATAGTGTTTTTTTTTTTTTTTTACTTTTACTTACATAGACATTTGTAGAACGAGTGCTGCTTTTTTACATTTTCTTGGTTCTCCGTATAGAGTGAAGTATTGGTATTTACTTTCCCATGCCATATAATACGATGTTCTTTAGGCTGCACTGTTGCTCCAACATGCAGCATAGCTTTTATCAAAGACTGATGTTCTTAAAACAACTATGGATCCAACCCCACTTACACGGTCTTCTAAACTATAGCTATATATCATCTGTAAACCTTTTATCTGCTATTATCTGTCATTATTTATCCTGTATTATAACCCCACTAAAATCTATTTATAGTCCATACATACATAGTCTCTGTACACATGTGAATAAATATTAATATCCAGTAAAGCACTTCTGGATAGATACAAACTACATTTCATTGCTTTGTAATTGTGAAAATGTTAAAACAATAAAGTTGAATTCTATTCTCCTCTAATCTATTAAGTTGTCCCTGAGCCTCACCGTCTCAGCTGCTTCCATTAGAGAGAATGCTCTATTTTTTTCCCTTACTGAACAAAAATAGTGTTGTGCTCATGTTAGCAACTGAATTATGACCTACTGAATATTACAATTTAAGCATTTCTGGTTTTGCACACATTATATGTACAGTTATAAAGTAATACTTTCTAATGTGATACTTAAATATAAAGGTAAGGGGAAAAGACTATACTGCATTAGTCCTCTTTATAGTCAACACTAGTAAGTCGGTCTGATTATTAGCTGCTGCTGTTGGTCATGCAGCATAAATACGTGTTGTTGGCAGGCACTGACCTTTAGCAGAGTAAAATAAGATATTTATTTTAGATGCAAACCTTGAGCAGCTCATCCTCTGTAGAATCTGGGAACTTCTCATGTAGAGTGTCCTTTAGCACCTTGGAGATGAATCGCATTCCATATCTGAGACACAAAAGTCAGATAAAAACACATTTCAATCGAGAAAGTCTGGTCATGTTGGGAAATAAACAAAGAAATCAACACATATTTATTCATGATGTTAGAAATGAGGAACGTACGGAATCTTGTCCACCGAGACGATTATCGCAGACAGGAATCTGTCAGTGATGGTCTTCATGTTTTTAATGGAGGCTTCCAGTCTTGTCCTCACCTCTTCGTGAGACATGGCCTGTTCTGGAGTGACGTCATACGGAAGCTTACTGTCAACAAGAGAACGAAGAAGGAGCTGTATCACCAAGGCTGAATCTCAATTACCGATACACCGACCCGTTCAGCCTTAAACCCAATGTTTCCAAAAGGTTACACTGAGGTTTGTTGATATATTTTTGTATAATACCTTTTTGAAACATTACTGTTTATGCTAGCAGTCAGACTAGTGATTACCTCAAGAATATTTGAGGTTTACTTTTTAAAAGTTAGCTTTAGGATATCAATACAGTATTCTTCATTTAATTGAAGAATTTGTTGAGTGTATTACTTCTCAGGGCCTAATTCAAACATTTCCAGAACAGCACATAAAACCCAAAGTTATTCACACATCTGATAGATTTAATCTTAAAGTTATCTTGTATTTTAACTTTTATTAAAGTGAGTCAGACAGATTCCCAACTGCAAAATATTAGGGTGATTGCAAAGAGGTCTCCCAAATTAAAAACCATCTAGATGTCAAATAAAGGCACCTCAGCAGTTATAAGAATAGTTTGTTTAAAATGATAATGGGTTAAATTGATTGATGGGCCACATCTAATTAAAAAGAACAATAGTTATTTTTGTATATTATCTTTTCGGGTCACCTCGTTGTTAACTGAAAATGTAAACTTTTATATTGTTTTAACTTAAATCTACAGTGAAGTAATCATTGTGGGCTAAAGGTAAGTTAAATTAAACCATTGATGTAAGAATAAAGTACCAAAACAAATATTTGATAATTAATAAGTGAAAGAATGCCAGATGTAATGCAGCCTCAGATCTGGACCACAGCTCATTAAGCATCTTAATTTTCACACAATTTAAATAAAAGAGATCAATCAAACAGGATCATTTTTATGTATTGCTCTGCTTTGCTGAAGCGATGCATAGAAAGATAATAAAAGTTAGATTTGACTGTCTTCAGCATAGAGGGGAACCAGGACAAAGATTAGGTTTGTTTTTTTCCTATTGCTCCATTATTAGATGAACTGACGTGCTAGAGAAAGAGGGTTAAACTACACAAAACAAAGAAATTGAGAGAGTTGATCCTTTTTTGTCCTGCAAATAGGGCAAATGCTACATTCTATAATGTCAGTTCAGTTTCTTTTGGGGGACTGGTGCCCATCCCTGAATCTAGCAGAAACAAGGTACACCTTTGGAAACACTTTACACAGACCTACTACGTTAACTGTCAATACAGTGATCCTCAATGAGCTGTAGGAGAATAGAAACAAACATACCAACTCTGAAATACTTCACATGTCAAATGAATCACTTATTTGCACCAGTCTGACCAGATATGGATTGAATTAAAAGACCGCAGACTCTGAGCAAAGCCTTTGTGCAGTTAAGACCTAAAATTAGAGATGCACCGACCCATTTTTTTTCCAACTGAATCGGATACAGGCTGATGTACTTTTACTTTATATTATTTCAGGAAGATCAGCTTGTTTCGAATTTTCAAACCCGGGTAAATCAGCTTACAATCCGCATTTGGTTCCCTGGTCCCTTTCCTGGGTTTTTCGAACAGTGGGAAAGGGACTATTATTAACAAATAAGTCGGAAAAAAAAAGAAAAGAAATTTCAGTTCCATGTAAAGCGCACTGGATTTGATCTCTGATATCAGATATCAAATCACCAATATCCGATCCAGGTATCAATCAGTGCATCTCTACCTGAAATCAGAATTTCAGCTGTCTTTTATAATTGGCGACCTTCTTTTAAATGCTAGTGTATCCTGCAACAAAAAGTACAGAAGTACATCAAAACTTCCGTTATAGTCCTCCTTCGGTGAATAATGTTTATTTCTTTTAGTCACCTTTTTGGTCATTGCCTGCATTATAATCACATGTGTCAAAGACAGTATTTTTCCCACATTGCAGCTTGTTGTAAAGTAGCAACCCCACCATCTGTGCTCACCTGGCCTCTCCAGTCTGTGTCTCCATCTGGTTCACCCAGCTCTTGTAGATGTCCACTGGGTCCGTCTTGATGTTTAGCGTTTTATCATCCATGATCTCCTTCACCACAGGTGCTAGAATCTGCCTCAGCGCATTCTGTCCTCGTGCGCCTCTGTGGAAGCTCACCACCATCTTTATTACCGTTGGGTTTCCTGTGACAATCTCCTTCATCTGGTCCACTTTTGACCTATAAGCAGATTCACAGATCAGGCTTTTTGTACCATACAGGTATGCTTTAATCAGATAATGAATGATACATGGTACACAATTAATACATTGATTTATGTGTTTTCAGGTATGTTTGTCTAGAAATTGCTACAAAAAACAGCTACTTGCATAAACTTCTTCTGATTGGCTAATACTGTTAGTTTCCTTCTCCATCACTGGCTGACAAATGCAAGGGGGATTTCTTAAACTCCATGTCCATCTGAATCTTTCAATATAATTCTACCTTTCCACAGCATCACCAGGCTTTCCAGTAAGACTGGAGACATTATTTACATTATTTAAACAGAGAGACTAAAGCTTAGTCTCTGAGAGCCAATTGAACCATAAAACTTTCACATCAGATGCATTTTCAAATAAGGAACATCAACTGGGTTATAATGGTTCTCATTAAGGTGTGTGAAGCTGTCCATAAAGATGGACGTTAATGTAAAGCCAAAGCAGTTTACTAGTCCAGGAAAATCGACATGGCTTGATGATGAGAAGAGCCTGAGGAGACTTATTTTAAGGATGAATTCATTCTTCATATTAAAGCCAGGAAATTTCGTATCAGGATCTTGTTTCTTACTTGATCTCCTCCTGCAGAGCAGTTTTGAAGAGCTTTAGCAGCAGGTACTCCTCTCTCTGGTTTGAGGCATAGTTATACAAGGTGAAGATGACAGAGTCCATAAATTTCGTGGATTTATTTTGTGGCATCTGGAAGATCAACTTGGCCAGATATGTCGGGTTGGTCTAAAAGGAATGGGACATTGACAGACTTATTATCAGGCAGAGAAATCTGTAGGAATTCAATAAAAAACAAATGTTTATGTGTCCTCACCTGTAAGAGGTAAAAGAGATGCTGGTAGGCCTCAAGCTTGACTCTCTTCTCTTTGCTGAGAGCCTTCAGGCCTCCCCTCTGCTTGTTCATCATCATCATATCTGACAGCTGGGTCTTATTCTTCTTGGTCAGCTTCTTGCTGTGCGACACTACCTCCTGCAGGGTAATTTTATTCTTCACCAGCAGCCCAATCTTGATATCCATCAAGTTGAGGTCATTCTCCAGCTGCTGATTGGAGCGGATGTTGGTGACCACTTCCTCACGCAGCCGCATCAGCTCCAGTTCCTCCTGAAAGTCCTGGTCACTGTGGTCTAGCAGGTGGACAAACTTCCTTACCACCGCCATTGGGGGATTTTCAGCATTGACTGGGGAAGGTTCATAACAATGTCAGATGATCCCTTAAGTTAAAGACGAATTATTTGTTTGGCCATCCAACTTACTGAGAGTTTTGTAGTCATCCCTCGCCTTGTTGGCCCTGATGAAAGCCTGAATCTTCACCACATCGTCGATCTGCAGAACAAAACATTAATCACTGGGTTGATCAAGAGATCTTAATCTAGAGCGAGTCAGAAGTCAGAAGAAATGGCACCACATAAAACACCCTGAGAAAGTAATCATATGCTCTCTCGTATTTTGTAATGTATAAATGTTATAGACAAATAAACAAAATGTCATGTCACACAAACAAAGGTAATATTGGATAAATTATTGCCCATTTTCCAAAAGTCGGTGAGAAAATCTTTCCCCCCAGACATTAGTTAATTAGTTAGACTAAAGTCTGGGGGAAATTTGGGTCATTTATTTAAAGAATAAGATCCCAGACACAAGTGGCTGAAATGAAATGAAATGAGCTTCCTCGGTAAGACTGCCGAGGATTTCTTTAGAGATATGGCGATAAGCTTGGCCATGTGGGAGGGGCTTGGAGCAGAGCTGCAACTGCTTACTAATGTTAGCCAACAAAACCCTAAGGGCCTTTTACAGAAACAGAATCCTGGGTTAAAAAACTCACATGATCTTGGAAGTACTTGAGACGATCTTTATACTTCTTACGAGCCTGATGCATTCGAACCACAGACTGAATCTGAAAAAGAAAGAAAACTATCAGTTTTCATTGCTTCATTTCTATAATCACTCTACAGATTGCAGCAACTTCTTTCTAATGTTACCTTAACGGCCTCTTTTGTGTGATCTTTCAGGTACTGCTTGCGGTCCTGGAACGCTTTCCTCTGTTTGTACCCTTTCCAGTGAGCCTAAGATGAAAAGATTCTGCTATCAGATTAACTAATCTTTAATGTTAATGTTTATTTAGTCCCAGATCTCTCACCTGGATGCATGTCACAGCAGGGTCCTGAGATTTCAGGAAGTTCATCCGCTCCTTGAGTCCATTTCTCACCAGGTAACCGCGACATCGAGCCTGAAGCTTTGTGATTAAAGTCTCATTGGCAAGCCAGAGCTGCTCCCGGTTATAGGCTGTGGTCACCCCAGAAACAACCCCCTGATAAGAGATAGCAAATGGTTAAATAGGGCTTCAAGCTTTAGGTGAGGCCCATAAGCAGATCCCTACCTGGATCTCTTCCTTGTTGATGTGAGTGTTGTTTGGTACGAAGCTTTCGGGCTCCACCCAAGTGCCCTCCTTGGTCTGTAAGTTGTAGTAGTAGTTATGTCCTCCCTTCACCCAGTGTTTGACCCAATCACTGCCGTTATCACCTGGACAGAAAAATTATTTTTCTTTTAAGTTATTCATGTAGTGGGGGAGTGTTGCTCTAAGAAGGTTGCAAGTACTCGGTTCGATCCCCACAGCCTGCACTCTGGACCCCTGAGCAAAGACCCTTAATCCCACAGTGCTCCCCAGGCTCCGCACTATGGAAGCCCACTGCTGGCCAAGGTTAAATGCAGAGGTAAAATTCTCCAACGTGAGAAAAAGTTCAACTATTATTATTATAATTATTATTATGTAACCCCAATAAACCACAAAGCCTTATTTAAGAAAAAAGGAAAAGCATCAGAAGCTTAAGAAAACAAAGCAGCTGCAGCTAGAGGTCAAAGTGCAGAGTTGGAAAATCCCTGGGTTCAAAGGCTGATCGCTAAAAGTAACAAAGGCCTTAAAGACACTTTATGACAAAAAGAAAGATAAACATGTTTCCAAGAGGATAAGGTTGGATTGCTGATGGAAGTTATGTTCATGCAAAAGACTTTTGGAGATATATTTTTGGGTGGTTCACCAGAGTTTAAAGTGCAAAAGGTTCAAGCATATATTGTTTCTGAGTGCTCACAGATTTAGATCATTCAGCAGTAGAAGGAGAGCAAACAGGGTGACGCTGCTGAGATGCTGAGATATTATGAAGATAAAAAGTCTTACCGGCAGTTCTTTTTTTTTGCCAAATCCAACTGTAGCAGTTTGAGTTTTTTTCACTCCCGGTTTTAGATTTCTTTAAACTATTGAAGTTTCATTATCAAAACTAATTTGCAATATCCCAGCAAAAACCCAGATAAATAGCCCAAAACATCATGATTACAGCTCAGTAAAAGTTTCATCTTTTTATATGTACTGATCACACTAAAGTAAACCGAATAATTACATAGAGTAGTCTCTAAATATTTCCTTAATTTAGGGTTAGGCTAACAGGCCCCATGTGAAAATATAACTGCTTTTTTATTTTTTTTTTATATCATTTATGGTTTAGCTGTTTAGCTGAGATGTTTGGTCATAGGAAAACATTGATTTTGGGAAAAAGTCTCAGATTGAAATCTTTCAAAACAAATCACATTTTTACATCGTCACCGTGGCCAAATATTCTTTGGTAGAAACATGAAAGTTGGCATATTTGTTCATCAAAGTCTACTGATTCCTACGGTCTAAACATTATTTCTGTATCTGTTATGATTTATTAAGACATACAACACAAACTTTTATACATTTTTCACATTTTCCTCTTTTTTCACAGAGTGCTGTGTAAAGCATTTTTCCCCTATCCGTCATGAATTAAACGGTGCAAGAATGACATTGGTACGACTTATAATTCCAAAGTTACAGACATTTGTTTGACACAACATCATACAGGCTATTAAGTCAGAATAGTAATGGGAGACGGTGGCTAAACAACATATCACTGCCTCTTCCTAACCGTTTGATGTACAAATATGAAACATGCACATATAATCATCAGACCTTCATATCATGTATGGTTTGGACATGTAGCTACTTTGTTTGGGGGCATTAAATCGGTTAAATTTCCAACTGAAATCTTTCAAAATGACCCCCCTTTTTTGTATTGTTATCATGGCTTCATTCGTTTTTGTAGAAAGATGAAAGTTGGCATATTTGTTCATCAAAGTCTGTATCTGTTAGTGTTTTTATTTATTAACCATAGTTCAACACAAACCTTTTTTCAACCTTTTCTTTCAACCTTTAAAGTGAAGTACAGTAAGTTACTGTCTGTTTCTTAGTTACAGCCCAAAGTCTTATTCTCAAATCATTCTATCTTATAAAGACTACTTTAAATTAGCATCTACATGATAATTGTGTAGAATAAAGACATCAACAACAATCCTATTTAGGATTAAAATATTTTAATGTCTCCTCACCTTCGTTCTTCTTCTCCTCTTTAATTTTGGCCAAGTCATCCTGATAGGTTTGTGCACACTCAGAGGTGACACCGTAGAGTCCTGCTCCAGGATTGCGCAGAGCAGCCAGAGTCTGAGCAGGGTCCCCAACGCCAACTGCCTCATTAATGGCCTGGATGGACTGTGAGACTGTAGGTACAAATGCAAACATCAACATTTACAAGTTCCTAACAAGCGCAACGTTGGAAACCACAAGGTAGCATAACTCCGAGTTTCCTTACACTGCAAGGCCTCCTTTGTGTCTTGATTTGCCTTCAAGATGGCATCCTGGATCTCATCCAGCCACAGCACAGCAGAGGGATCCTGAGTCTCCTGGAAAAACACAGGCACAAAGATCAGGAACCATAAAATACTAAAAATACATCTTTAACAAATGTACTGTAAGCACAAGCACTGTTAAATAAAAAAATAAAAGAGGTTGACATCAGCTTCTACAGGTCTTAGAAGTCTGTCCTTTACTGATGCCGGGATAAACCACACGATGAGACCAAAGTAGAAATGTATGTCGTTGATGCACACATCATGCAAAAAAAACCAGCAGCACTTATAGGTTGTGTGGAATGGAGGGCTCCTTTTGTTTTCAAAGGACCTGGGCATGGCAATTGATTAACAGACCATGAGCTCCTCTACTACCAACATATTTAAGTCAAATGCAAGAGCACAAGCCTAGGGCTGCAGCTTGACTCAAACCAGATCACCAAAAGGACTGTAAGCAAAAACATCTTTGGAATAATCACAATAAAATGGTTAAAGTAAAAGGATCAAGATGTCAAAGTCTAGCATCTTAAGCTATGGTGGGTTCTTACCTAAAACTCATTTGTTTTTATGAATATGAATATTTTCCAAACTTCAGTGAATTACAGTAACACTGGAGAGAAAAGAAGATAATAATCCCCCAAAAGTTGTGAAAAGCTGATTTAGTCATAAGACCTGCCAAAAATATCTACTTAGTTACACTCTATTTTTGTACATTTTGGTTTGGTTCATCTAAAACTGGTTTGAAAAATACTAATATGAAAAAATCTATTTATTTTTACACTGTAGTAGTGCCAGTCTGCCACTGGGTGGCGCTCTCTCAGCAGAAAAGCTGCTCCCTAGATATTTCCCAGGCTTGAAACCTCCCCTTCCATATGTCCTACCCCTTCTCCCTACAAGTAACATGAAAGGAGGCATGTCTATGAGAAGTGCGGTAAAAGTGACACTTGATCTACTTGTCTCATTCAATGGGGGGAAGACAAGGCTGTGTTGGTGGATAACATCAGAGCATGGACAGAAAGTAGTAAACAAACCTGAGTTTAGATTAGTGTGTGTGTGTTTGATTTGCTTGTGTGATTGTTGTTTGTAGAAGGCCAACAGCAGGCATGAGGTACTAGACAGGGTGTGGTTCTTAGGCAGGCTGAGGCCTGGATGAAGAAGGAGGGGGAGGACTACTGTGTAACTTTATGACTGCATCATGGAAATAGAGGAAGTGAGAGTTGGGGCGGTTAAGCTTTCTAGAGGTAAATTAGTTCAAATGTGTAACTTTTTTTTTCTGTAATTTTCTTCCTTCCTTAGAAACCACCTCTAGAAAATTGCGTGAGATTTCATTTAAAATGTCCAGACCCGGTTAGCGCGATCAAAAAGGTTAACCTCATAAAGGTTTATTGGGGGGAAATACTGGCAAAAGATACCTGCAGATGTTTATATGGAAGGTAGGATAGGTTTGAAGTATGAAGCAACAGATATATCGAGATATTTGTAGCTAACAGAAGCAGACTTTGTTAAAAAAAAAAAAAACTCTCATTGGAACAACAATTGCACATATTTACACATTTCATTCCTTTTAATTTATGAAATTGTTGTATTTTTAATTTCTTTATTTGCTTTGATAATGATTGAAATTGTACAAACCCATCCACACAAAGAAAAGGCCTCAAACATAAAACTTTCTACATTCTTCCTAGGATGCTACCCAAACTATCAAGTAGCCTCTAGATGCCTTATACTGGTGTATAATATAATACATGTAAGACTTGGATCATGAGAGGTCCCTATTTTGCAAAAGAATCAGAAGATTTTCATTTGTCACCTTCCAATTAACAACTTTAATAGCTTAGCTTTTACTTATTGCTCTGGCTGTAAATATGGACAGGTTTAAGATAGAAACCCGTTTCCTGACATCAGAAGACAAAATATCTGCATTCTTGGCTAATGATGCCCTGCTTAGTATCTATGTATGCAAGTATGGCATCAGTTTAAAATAAACCAATCCTTGCAATAATATTCACTGATGTCTCTTTAATTTTGTAAAAATAACCATCCTTTAACAGCTTCTTATGAATAAAAGGTGGGATTTTTTCAGTTGGAGGTTCTGCTTTGAAGTTAGAAGCTTAAAATGAGAGCAAGATTCCCAGTAAATATGAAGGACTATGCAGGTCTTCCTCTATCTGAATACACAAAGTAGTGATTGCTGCAGCTACAAATTAATGAGATAAAAATCTAAAGAGAGACAACATTGGACTTGTTAGTCAGTGGAGTCTGGGCAGGACTTCCTGCTGTTTATCTAGCCTCAGCTCTCAGCTCTGAGCCAACTTCTGCTTCCCACCTCTCTGCCTACTAACAGCTCTAAGACTGCAGAGTTAATGAGACCAAAGAGAAACACAGGCGCATAAAGTAGACACACTTGCTGCGTTGGGTCCCAGCTTTCCTGACCCCTGATCAGCTACAAATATCAAACTGCAGTCTCGCTGCATCTCAGGAATAAGGCTCATCCTTCTGATGATCCTGCCTCTTTCGCCTGGGAAACACCTCATCTGCCCCGACCGGAAGCTCGAGCTGCTCTAATCACTAACTTTGTCAACTTGGGAACAGTGTGTGTGTGTGTGTGTGTGTGTGTGTGTGTGTGTGTATGTGTGGTGGTGGTTGGGGTATGTGTGTGTGCCCATGTAGCGGTCAACTTTTTGTCCTTTTATGGAATGAAACGACTGAGCTCCTGCATGTTATTTCCTGCGCCTGTAAAATCAGGTTCCATGTTGTTGCATACCCTTTTTGTCAAGCCATTAATAACATTTCCAAGAAATCTATGCTGCTTTTCTTCTTTTAAACATGGCACCATGGAAAGTTTTCATAATGCTTAAAAATAATTTGATCATAGCAAAAAAATAAAAAAATGCTTTTTTTCAAAGGCCTCAGAGGTTTGTTAGGGAACAGTAGTAAATTCCCCCTCTTAGCCAATATAGGTGATGGAAAACTAATGCCTTGGCCACATTATCCCACCGAAATATGGTAGTGGGAGCATCATGCTGTGGTGACCATTTTGCTTCACCTCAGGCGGTGAAGGACAACCCTCTAAGTAAAATTGTTAGAGCTGCTAGAAGACTTCAGTCTGGGATAGGTGTCAAGTTCCAGTAGAAAAACAAATGAAAAATATAGGTTTCAGTCAAAGCATATTTATATGCAAGAAAGGATCAGTCAAAGTATAGACCGAAATGCAGCCAAAAACCATCAGCATGAGCTAACTGATGTTTACAAGCACTCTCCACCCAAACGCCTGGGGTTGCAGGGGCAACCATTTCTATAAGGTATTCCTTTAGGAGGACTAAATAATTATGCCTTCACATCTTTGTTACATTCATTTGTTAATTAAACTAATTCATTTATGTTAGTCACAATCAATCCCCATAAAACACTCACATGTCAGAAATTGTAACAAGGCCAAAAAGGGAAAAAACCCAGAGGATAAGATTACTTAGCAAGGCTGCATGACTCATCCTGTTTACTTATACAATAGAGTCAGCAGAGGCTCCGTTTTAACACAAACTAAAAACAGAATTGGGCAGAGCACATTGAACTCTTCTCTAGTTATGGCTTCAGCTCTGCAGTGAAGCTGCAGCAAACACCTGCTTGCTTATCTGCAGCTCGCCCTCTGCTTCTCTCTCTGAGACAGAAAAAAAAGCCCAAATAAGGCTTCTGTGTGTGTGACATCACACGCAAATGTGCCGTGCATACACCCTACACACAGGAACCGCACTCATCGCCTCATGATAACCCAGGCAAATGAGTCAGAGAGAACAGGAAGAGATGCTCTGGAGACCGAGCCCTCTAGTCTGGTGCATGTCGAGGTTCACAAGCTGAATGTCTCAATCTAAAGAGAAAAAGTAGCATAGATCTCAGTCAGTGGAGCCAAATGTACACATCCAATGGAACAGGAAGTGGAAGTGAGGGGTGGGGGCTGACAACACCATGACATAAGTGTCTGCTAAAAGCCTGAGTCACATGGAGTGATCTGCAATTTTCTATCAGCCTAGGTCAAACACATTTAAAATAATAAGAAACCCCACCTATAAATGTTGGATTTTCTGTTATGCATAACAAATTCAACAAAAATACACAGATAAGTGAACGGCGCTTAAGCATAAAGTGGAGAATCTTTTCTTCAAGTCTTACAAAAAGATTTATGCTGGAACCACCAACATTTGTACAGCTTACTCCTATAAAAATTAAGAATAATTTCTTAAATATTAAATTAAATAAAACACATTCAAAAATATTACAAAAAGAAAACAGGAATGTGAAGGTTTACTGAACGCCACTTAGATGCCTTTTGCTCCTCAAGACATTTCTACACCAGCTTAACCTCAAAAGATTCACTGCAGTCATCCAAGCTCTTTTCCCAGGCAAATAGAAATAGAGCCCTGACAACTTTGAAATGCGTGCAGCAGTAAAATCAAGCCTGATGTAACTGTAGCCCGACTGTTTGCATGAACTGTTTGCATAAAGCTCACTAAAAAACACCTAGATAGACACAAAAAAGCAAATGATTAAAAAAAAAAAAAAGAGTTCTTATGTGATTAATAACCTTTTGCCCAGAAGGAAATTACTCTAAAACTTTATTTAGCTTTGACATTTCTTTTCTATAAGGACACAAAATATTATAGTAGACCAAAATTTTAGAGGTTTCCTTGCTCCAGCACAGCTGATTTTAATTGAAAGCTGAATAACAGGCTTTTGGTCTACTGCAATTATAATCAGCTGTGCTAAAGCAGGGAAACCTCTAAAACCTGCAGGACAGCGGGCCTTGAGGACCGAGGTTGGGGATGCCTGACATAGAGCATCAACCTGCACTGTAAACAGGTCTGTCTTTATCAGCTCAGTGCATTCTTGATTGCATGCCAATAGCAAACTTGCGAGAGCTTTTATCATTGTTCTCTTACTGTGGTGACCTTTACAAAGACTGATAAATAGTTTTGGATTTTTTCTTTTTGTTGTATTTTCTAATGTGCCAGGAGCAAATTTTATGTGCTGAACAATCTGAGAAAAAACTTCTTTTTTAATTTTTTATTAGTTTGCGGGCCATTGACATTCGATTGAACAATTATCCAAAGGTAACTCCTTACTTGGTCCATTTATCAATGAACCTATCTGATTGTGATTTTATTTTGCGAGGATTTAAAGTAAAGAAGTAAAGCTGCTAAATAGCAGATTTTGTTTGCTTAAATTGTAATCCAGCAGGCTGACAAATTCCATTGACAAGAAAAAAAAAACAAAAAAACAAGCTTAGCTTCTAACAATGGCATCAGGTCAAGTATCTTATTGTACATCCATTTCTCTCATAGCACAGTATCCAAACCAGCAATGTAATCAGAAGTTTTTGCTAAGGGAAATAGTGACCACAGCCCACAATGTTAGATCTTGCCTTCTGGAGCCACATAACTTCTTCAGGTACCTGGCCTCGGATTTATGGACATAGAGAGCAGATGGATAAACTTTTTTATGTAATCTTTTGTTGTCTGATAGGTGGCATTGATATCTCAATCCCCTTTTAAAATACTAGCAGGTGACCATGGAAACAGGCTCATCCCTGGTCTTTACAGGGCTTTTCAAGTCTGGATGATTCATACATCTGAATCTTGAAGTAGCTGAAGAAAAATCTCCTAGAATGAGTGGAAAGCACCCAAATACCAAAATATTTTAATAAAAAAGTTTTCCACATAGCTTGGATAACCGCTAACCAAGTTCATTTTGAGCGGCATTTGAGGACTTGAGGCTGATGGGAGAAAGCTCTAAAAGGAATGAAGGTTGGCTCAAAGCTCGGCCTCTTCCTACCATCTGCAGGATGCTTTATCTGAATGCTAACTTCCTGACTTACATGAGCCTTCTCCCTGCGGGCCTCCAGCAGTTTATCATGGTAGTGCTGAGCGATGGACGGGTCCACATCTGTCAGCTTGGCTGATCGGTTCTGCAGCATGTCCAGGGTCTTCATGGGATCTCCTTCATCCAGAGCCTCATTGATCTGTCCAATGGCAGCAATTCCTGCAGAGAGGGGTCATCACCACAGCAGGAAATCAATCATAATTTACTGTAAGAAATAAGCTGCAGAAGTAATTAAAAGATGTTGCAATCATTTATGCTCATTTGCTTGGTTCATAGTTATTAAATATTTTGGCTAACCAATTCAACATGTCATTAAAGTTGTGTATGAACACAGTTAGTGTTTAGCAGAAGATTTTACATGCTTATACAATAAGAGTCTGCCTCTTACGCTCATGCTCCTCGTGCACATCTTGGTTAACTTGGTCAATGCAGGCCTGGATGTCATTCCAGGTCAGATATGCACTTCCCTGCTCTTTGGCTGCTGCTCTTAGGCGCATCAGCTCATCCATGTATCTGAGCAGCAGACAAACAGCATTAAGCCTCTGGAAGTAGACCTCTGATCAGACATGTTCCTAACTCCTGGCCTTTCACGCTCACCTCTGTGCATACTCGTCCTCTACATTACTGAGTCCGGTCACAGAGCTGGCCAGCTGTCTCCACAGGGCAGCACGGTCTCCAACGTCCATCGCCTCGTTCATCAGCACCACCGCTGACAGCATCTCCACGGCGACGAGCAGCTCGGGATGAGTCAGGGAGCCCTGCAGGACAGGGGTCACCAAATGTCTCAAAATTCAGGGAAAATTCTCAGATGGATGAGTTCAATGGTGAAAATATTTACATTTTAAGCTGCTTCCAAAGAAACTTAGTGTTCATATACTCTGTTCATGTCCAAACATAGTGGATATGAAAACGTTTCCATGTTTAGATTGTACTTAATCAAGGATGGATGGATAATTAGTAGATTGGACAAAATAATGTAGGTATGGATGCACAAACTAATGGCTGGTTGGGCAAAATCCTCAAAAATAGAAGGAAAATGCATGGATGAAAAAGTGGAATTGTGGAAAAATCAATAAATGGATTAACAGAGATAAATAGATGAAAGTCAAAAATATCTACTAAAGACAAATATGAAGAACTAAGTTGTGCTGGACCACATCAGCACGAGTTACAGTACAGACCAAAAGCTTGGACACACCTTCCCATTCAAAGAGTTTTCTTTATTTTCATGACTATAAAAAAATGTAGATTCACACTGAAGGCATCAAAACTATGAATTAACACATGTGGAAATGCATACTTAACAAAAAAGTGTGAAACAACTGAAAATGTCTTATTTTCTATCATCTTCATAGTAGCCACCTCATGCTTTGATTACTGCTTCGCACACTCTTTGCATTCCCTTGAGGACTTCGAGAGATAGTCACCTGAAATAGTTTTCACTTCACAGGTGTCCCCTGTCAGGTTTAATAAGTGGGATTTCTTGCCTTATAAATGGGGTTGGGACCATCAGTTGTGTTGTGCAGAAGTCAGGTGCATACACAGCTGATAGTCCTACTGAATAGACTTTGTATTTTGGCAAGAAAAAAACAGCTAAGTAAAGAAAAACGGGTGGCCATCATTACTTTAAGAAATTAAGGTCAGTCAGTCTGAAAAATTGGCAAAACCTTGAAAGTGTCCCCAAGTGCAGTTGCAAAAACTATCAAGCGCTACAAAGAAACTGACTCACATGAGGATCACTCCCAAGAAAGAAAGACCAAGAGTCACCTCTGCTGCAGAGGATAAGTTCATCTGAGTCACCAGCCTCAGAAATGGCAAGGTAACAGCAGATCCGATTAGAGATCAGGTCAATGCCACACAGAGTTCTAGCAGCAGACACATCTCTAGAACAACTGTTAAGAGGAGACTGAATAGTTGTTAGGAAACCACTGCTAAAGACAGGCAACAAGCAGGAGAGTTGCTTGGGCTAAAGAACACAAGGAATGGACGTTAGACCAGTGGAAATCTGTGCTTTGGTCTAATGAGTCCAGAATTTGAGATCTTTGGTTCCAACCATCGTTTCTTTGTGCGACGAAGAAAAGGGGAACGGACGGACTCTACATGCCTGTTTCCCACCGTGAAGCATGGAGGAGGAGGTGTGATGGTGCTTTGCTTTTAACACTGTTGGGGATTTATTCAAAATTGAAGCAATACTGAACCAGCATGGCTACCACAGCAACTTGCAGCGGCATGCTATTCCATACGGTTTGCGTTTAGTTGGACCATCATTTATTTTTCAACAGGACAATGACCCCAAACACACCTCCAGGCTGTGTAAGGGTTATTTGACCAAGAAGGAGAGTGATAGGATAATGCGACAGATGACCTGGCCTCCACAATCACCAGACCTGAACCCAATCGAGATGGTTTTGGGTGAGCTGGACCGCAGAGGGAAGGCAAAAGGGCCAACAAGTGATAAGCATCTCTGGGAACTCCTTTAAGACTGTTGGAAGACCATTTCAGGTGACTGCCTCTTGAGGCTAATCAAGAGAATGCCAAGAGTGTGCGAATCATAAATCAAAGCAAAAGGTGGCTACTGTGAAAAACCTAGAAGACATATTTTCAGTTGTTTCACACTTTTTTGTTAAGTTTATAATTTCACATGTGCTCATTCATAGTTTTGATGCCTTCAATGTGAATCTTCAATTTTCATAGTCATGAAAATAAAATAAAAAACTCTTTGAATGAGAAGGTGTGTCCAAACTTTTGGTCTGTACTGTATGTAATAAGGTGTAGAAACTGTGAAACATTCAGTGTGGTTCTGATGTGTGATGAGGTCAGCAGTTTTTAAATAATATGCTCCGCTGCTCCTGTAATTCAGCCTCAGAAGCCACGGCTTGACTCCCTTTAGTACTGTAGGTGTGTGCACTCACCTCTGCACTTTGCTGCTGCAGACATGAAAGCTCCTTCTGGTAGAGATCTGCAGCACTGGGGTAAACCTCAGGCAGCTGAGCATCAGGGTTCATCAGTTCCTCCACGGTCTTCTCTGGCACGCCTTCTCTGATGGCAGCATTGATGCGCTCCACTGCTTTCAACACTACACAGAGACAGGAAATTAGGCCTGATGACAGGAACAGACAAAGATAGGGACTATATCCCTTGTGTGAAGCTTACTCTTCTGGTATCCTGCTGCAATCTCATTTGCCACATCCACCCCGCTCTGCAGCTCATCCTTTGTCAGAGCTTCTCCAGGAGATGCCTAGCATGGAAAAGTTATGATGACTACCTTGAAAATGTGATCTATGACATTCTTCGCATTTCTTGGACCCTACCTGCTCCTTGTTCTCCCTCTCGGCCTGCAGCTGCTTGAGGTACCAGCCTTTGTTCTGAGGCTGCAGGTTCTGGACGCCCATGGCCTTCAGAGCCTCATACAACTTGTCCTCATCTCCACTGATCAGAGCATCCTCAGCTGCCCTTAGAGCATTGCTCACTGTTGAAGAAAGATACATTTTTCACCAATGCATTTCACAAAAACGGCATATTTACTAACCTGAAAACACAGGACCTGGCAAATGTTTTCATACCTCTTTAACTTTTAAAAACATTTGATGTGACAAAAAATAGTAGCAACTAATTGTGAGGTGCATCACATTAAAAAGTACAAGTAAGCTTTGAGCACCTGTGGACGGATTTTTTACCTTATCCTGCAAGTAAAAAGTTCAAGCCCAGTTCAACTGGACGGAGAGAATCTGAAGAGCAGTTTTCAAATCTTACAACAGATTTTTATCTGTATAAACAGGTATGAATAGTGTCACTTAGCCATGGCAGGATGGAAGGGGAACCTTGTCCCAAGATATGTCTTTTGCCACCACCATGCTTTGGAATGGAGATGATGTGATTAGGCTGCAAAGTCATTTTATAACCTAACCCCGTTTAATCATCTCTCTGACCTGTATGCTGTTTTCTTTGGTATATGTAATGCTGTTGATGCCTTTAATGTTCTCAAATACACCTTCATAAATGAGCTGAATTCATGCACAGATTAAATTAATCAGAATTTAAACAAATTTTCTTTTTTTTTTAAAAAGGTACATCAAAGTAAAGGATGCTTCAACAATTTTCCCCCACTTCACAATAGTGCACTGCATTCTGTTGCTCTGTAACATAAAGTAACATCTCCAAAACATTTTGAAGCTTTTGTAAAGTGTGTTGGTACTTACCATTGACCGTGTTGATGTTACCCTGGATTTCAGCCTGAGTGAGAAGCTCGTCATAGATATCTCGCTCTGCATCAGCATTTTCTAGTTGCTTCAAAACAAACATCAGCATATTATTACAGAACAAGAAGAGTTATCATTTTTATGAGGTTATCTTGGTCTACTTGATTAGATAAAGCATTATCCCTTCACTGGCAGCCAATTATAGCAAAGAGCTCTTTCAATACTGATTTCAGCTCTGAGTTTCGAGAACAGAAGCATGAAACCTCATAGGAGAACACGGACAGACAGAAAGAGCGTAGAATAAAACAAGGAGCTACTCTGGATTAGTGTTAAAGAAAATTAATAGAACTTGAGCCCCATATCTTGACACATTTTATTTTGCAAAACTTTCTGTATTTAAATTTACTTCTACAGCAGTGTGCCACTGTAACATGGTTTCAGCTGATTTATTGTGCTTCAGTTATTAACAAAAAGTTATAGAAACTTTTAAATCAAATGATCAATGTTAAAAAGACATTAGAAGATTACAAAACAAGGTTACACTTATGCCTAAAGTATTTTTTAATGGAAATTACATAAATTAGTAAAATTGAATAAATCAAAATAACAGTTTTTTTCAGGATTTAAAAAGCTAACTTGATTATCTAAATTATAGCTGACCCGGAGTACAAAGGCAAAATAAAAATAAAAATAAAAATAAAAAAAAACAGATTATAAGGTTATCATAATAGATTATACTGATTCAGCACAAATTTTGAAGCTTTTAACAAACTGTGAAGAATTAAAAAACAAACAGAGCTGTACTGAAAGAAATTTCTTTTTGTATACCCTTCTGTGTAAAAAATGACAAATAAAGTCTGTCTAAGTCTTAATCAAATAGATTGCTATGATCCCATGTAATATTTCAGTTATGATCATACATGTTTGTTTGCACAAAAACATTTTGAGTATGACTTTTTTTGCATAAATGTTTTGCACAAAGGTAGTCATGTGTTAAAACTATTGAAAAAATAAAAATATGCGCAATTTTGTTACATGGGATATGAAGTAAGCTCACCATATAGAACTTAGTGTTATAGTGTGTTGGAATAAATCACAATCACTTTGTCCAAAAACTGTGTTCACATTATATATGATGCTGTGTCTATTTTATAACTTCTGGAGATTCTTACCCGTTTTCTAGAGCTTGCCACCTTCTCCCCCTTTGCTCGGTACAGTGTATCGTGATACACCTGTGCCGAGTTCGGATCCAGGTTGAGGAGCATGGCGTTGGGGTTCTGCATGGCAGCCAGGGTGCCCTCTGGAACGCCATGGTCGATGGCATCATTGATGGCGATCACTGCAGCGTGTACTGATGATTGAAGAGAGGTCTACTATCAAATTTAATTTAAAATTTTAGATAATCTATAAAGTGGGAATGAATTGTGGAAATTTAAGGTGTCTGTCATCTTGATGCTTAATACACACAGATAACCAACAGAGAACAAAGCCACCAGCTGCATCGACTCCAGCTAATCAACACTTAACCCCAACTGGATTAACACATGAACTGTTATTATTTTCCATTTGCTCCTAAATCAGATGTTGCTCTTTTTTTATTTTATTTTTTCATACAGTGCTGCAGCAGTGGTGCTGTACAAAAATATTTGAATTAACATTGTGAAAATGAACAGAAGTTATAGAAATACAAGGGGTATGCTCTAATTTTCTGCAGAAACAAACCAAAAAGTAGTTTAGCATTCTTTTCGAACACCTATGTTTTTTTTAAATAATTGTTGGAGAAAGAATTTTAATATTTAGTGATACAGTGCAAATAAAAAAAACATCTAAACACTAAAAAACTTGTTAAAGAAGTCTGTGTGGTATTTGCTGTTGTCTCTCAGTTGTTTTACTGGAATAATTTGGAGTGTGTTAATAGTTTTTGTTGATTTTTATTAATCTAGCGACAAAAAGCTCTATATATCTGTGGGTGTATGTTTGGATATTTGTTCCATTTTATGTAAGAAATTAAAGTAATTGGTTTTCATGGATAACCCTCACAATTTATAAAGGATAAGAAAACAACAAAAGGGAGCAACATACAAACAAGAGCTTTATACAGTAAATTGAAGACTAGAAATTGTTAATAGTGTTTAATCTCTAACTAATGCAATGCAATCTTAAATATATTTCTCAGGTCATTCTATTTGTAGTTTTTATGTTAGAATTAGAAAATAAATGTTTTGGTTATTTATAAAATATGACTTAGTTACTGTTTATTTTCCATTCATTCTTTTATTATATTTATAGATTATTTAGAAATGTAATATCTTCAGCCTTTTTGAGGTTAAACAGCAAAAATTGTATTTTTTCTGGCACTTCAGAAGTGATAAATACTCAATCTCTGCTAAAAGCTTATTTGTATTCACTATAAAATCCTTTTGGGATCAGGATGCACTAACTCTAAAGTTATAAGACCCTCCCTCTATTGATATCTGATCTCTTCTCACATGCGGCTTCATCCACTGAGAGCTCATTGGCCAGGATCCCTCCAATCTTGCTGAAGGCGGGCATCTGGATTCCATACTTCTCCAGCTCGCTCTTCATGTTGTTGATTTCCTCCTCTGTAAGAGATGGCACAGAATGGAGGAAACACATTCAGGGATTGCATTGGGAAAAAAAGGGGGTTGGAAAAAACGGGTAGTGGGTTTTTTGGGGAGAAGGGGGATGGACAAGTGGGGGACTGCAAGGACGAACTGTTCCTGGCTTATGTTTGACAATTAGATTCCTGAGGCTGGCTCTGGGACATGCAGCTGAGTGGGAACTCCACAGACAGGAAAAGCTCTCACTGTTACTAATTACTTTCACATTTCCAGCTGCTCCTTCTGGCCATAGTCTGCCATGTTCCTCAATCCCAGGGTTTTATGGTGTGGATAACACCAGCAGAGTTTAAAAACTGAACAAAGCAACATTTTTGATGCTCAGTGTTTTAGAATAAATATTAACATAATAAAAAGTAAAAAAAAATAATAATAAAAATAGGGGCCAAGACTTCTGCTTAAGCTCATCCACTTACCAGTGAAATCTACTTTTCCATAAAGATCCTGGATCTGTGGGGCCAAACCCAACTTGAACAAGTAGAGACTGTTAAAATGTTAAAAAAAAAAATAAAGAAGAAAAAACAGTATGAGGTCAGTGCTATACAACAACAAACGGCAATACAGGAACTGCAGTCAAGTTAGAAAAAATACATCCTCCCTATTCCACAGTTGCATTCATGAGGACTTCGGAAAAACAGATCTAGTCTTTACCACATTTAAGTTATTTAAATATACCCTTAATTTAAGAAATAATATAATAAATGGCAAACTGTCCTTGTTTGTAGTGATAGTGCAGATACGTAGGTCCACCCTTGCTGCTTTGATAGGCTTGACAAAAGAAAGCAGCGGCCGACTAAAGCGTATTTTACATCATACTGTGTGACCATCTGTATAAAAGCAAGTGCTTCAGCAGTTTGTTGATCCAGAGAAGTATTTTAACACTATTGTAAGGCAGAAAAATGTTAGCATTAAACAACATACTGTTGCTATTGGTTGTTCTGTTAATCAAGACCACGATCAGTCATGCCAAGATTAGGTTAGCAAGACTGACCCGTATGCATCCCATACATTTAAACATAATCCAGCTTTTTATTTTCTCTAAAAAATGGAAAAAAAAAAAAACATGACTTTAGTCAATATTTAAATACCTAATATTTATTAAAAGACAAATGGAAAAGACTAAACATATATGGCTAGTTTTAGAGGTATGGAACTAAAGGAGCTCTGCTATCCAACAACCAACTATCTAGCAGAGTGGTGGATCGCAGACACAGCAGCTAATCTACAAGAAAACTGGTTAAAAAAAAAATAAGAAAAGGCTGTTTTTCATTGATCCACCAAAAGTTAGGACTTTAACCTTTTTTAAAGTTCTAGAGAGATCTGTGCAAAAACTGAAACAAAAAGACTGACAAAGAGAACAATATTATTTTAACATAATTATGGGTGCCTTTCACCTTGGGGGGTACTTAGTTGCTCATAAAAATGTTCCACTCTCTAAACATCTTATCTTGATGCCTTGATATCTTATCCATACCTCTTGTCCTTCACTGCCATTTTTCTCAAGCAATGCATTGTATACCTCATGAACACATATTCAGTTTTTAGGTCAAAGTCAAAGACCAAGCAAATGAAAAACTTAAATTTTTGTGAACAAATATCCCTTTGTTTTTCTCAACCCTCTTTTAGCATGCCGAAACAAAGGAGGAAGAATCCAACCAGCAGTCAATGTTTGACTTCAATGTCTTGTAAACCTCGGACAGGCTACACGACCCTTAGCAAAGAAATAGATCTAAGAGAAGTCGTCAGAACCAACCTGAGAGCGTGTATACAGTAGATGCACCGTGGCATGTTTTTTCGGTCATAAATGTCTGTGGTTTCAGGGTAGAAGATCTGAAAGAGTAGTGAATAGAGAGGAGAAAACGATCAGCATCATGTTGGAGCATGTGTGCAGAATATGAGCTCAGACAGGGAATTACACAATGCTAATGTGCATTTACACACCCTGTGGCACAACTCAGCGTAGCTGCCGAAGTCCAAAACAGATGATTAATTTGCCAACTTATAAAACCTTTTTACATTTATGCTGCTAACTGGCAACTGTCAGTTAATCAGTATGCGTGCAAATGTCCTCACCTTTGGTAGTCCCTTTTCTGCCATGGCGTTGAGCCACTGGATGACATTGTCTGTGTGTCTGAAATGGAGACCCGTTGCCTGTAGGAGAAAAGCAGAACATAAGAATGGAAGACAAAAAATTTACATCTTTGGAAAAGCTAATGTTCCATGTTGGCAATGTAAATTGTGAATTGAGATCTTATACTGCCAAAAAGCTTGGCTCACTCATGCCTGGCAAAAGGATTTGGATTTTGAACCTTTTCCACATTTTATCACATTGCACCCCCACAGATGTCTGTGTCTTTTAGTGGGATTTAATTTGAGAAAGTTTGTTTGCATGCCCTCAGCATGATGCAGCGACGCCACAGTTTAACCCTACTGCATTCATTGGGGGATGCTTAAACATAATTTCCTCTTTTCCATTTTATCCCTAATAATAAATAATCTTCGACAAAATTATATTGCAGGAAGAATTTGCAGTTGCATGAATTCCAGAACAGTCAGTCTAGTGTCTGCATTTAAGTGTGTGCAAATAAAATACAGATAAGTAAAGCTGCTGTATGCCATTTATAGCTTATACTTGTCGTCATAAATAAAAAACAAAAAAATATTTTTGAGAATAAAATAAACTATAATTTCTGCGAATATGTGCAATCAGAAAGAGATAAAAAAAAAGGAGAACTTATTTTATTTACTTTTTCAGAATGCTAGAATCCGATGTATAGCTTACGAGTGTGAAAGCTTTCCGATTTGATCAATCAGGATATTTTTGCTAGGGGCATAATATGAAAGTTCAACAAGTATATTTCAGCTATGCTGCCCTAAATTAGTTTCAACTTCTAATTTCAGATACATATAGGCCCCTTCTTGACAAGAAATAACAGTAAAATAACATAAAGTGTAAAATCAATTATATTCTTCATAGTTGTGACACAATAAAGAGACACAGGGACTCTCACTGTTCTTACTGGTAATTGAATACTTCCCCATCATAAAGGCAAATATTAAAGTATTGTGTGAAAGTGCAGATTTATGTTGGCGGGTGACCCAAGTTACTTTGAGGTTAGGGCGGGAACTGCTGCTGAAGGTCAGACTGTCCCAATTCACAGCTGATCACCTCCACAGTTCCATTGTTTTTGAAGAACCTCACACCCCCACTGTATTTAAATCTTTACATTTGCAGTTGTCCCTCTATGCAGCAATGGACTGGAGGTCTAAAGCATGGAAATCCTCAAATCTCACCTTGTACCGTGTCTGCTCACGGTCGTAGATCTTCTTTAGGGAAACCGTCTGTGGAGCAAAGAAGTTGCCTAGTTTGGCCAGATAGACTCCATTTCTCAACCCCTCTTCCAGCTCCGTTGTTGGGGGCAACTCCTCGTCCAGACAGGCCTCTATCCATCTGCATGGAGAGCAGAAAAAATAAGTGTTAAATTTATAAAAGCCACAAATCAAAGATATCTTTTTCTAACAAAAGAGGAATTGCATTAGGACACCAAAGACGGTGCAGGAAATTGCAAAATGGAGTTATCGAAACATCATAAGAAGCTGACTTTGGAAGTGATGTCCTTAATATTCAACCTGAGGATTTTAAGGTTTAATATAATGAAACTAAAGATCTGCATTTTATAATCCTAAAACATTTTGTACAGAAATCTCCTTCACAGAGGTCAGGATTCATTGCCATTTAATATTGAGGCACTATATCGATCCTGTCCATCCCAACAAACACCAAGAACCCTACTAGCAAAGTTCTAACTATTCATTAAAGCTCAGGTGTGGAGTGGTACATTTCTTGCATTCATGATGTCAGGACATTGTTGTATATAGCACTCAGAGATGCCAGCATTCTTTAGGGTATGACATTGCATTTCTCTTAGATCATTATTTGAAGCTGCATTCCTGCTGAGAGGCTGAGTCAGCTCCAGGCCACAGAGGAGACACACTGAGCCATAGCGGGGGAGAGGCCTTGAAGACTCGATTTAAAAGCCAGCAGGACTGATCATGTCAGATTCAATAAAACCACTTAGTTTAACTTGCTTCTGTGATCCAGAGTGAGGGTGGTTACTTGGCCCGGAACCTTTATAGTCATCCCATAGAAGAGTCTAGCTTCCAAATTAGTACAGCTATGGCATTAGGAGCAAGATTCCTTATTTTAGATACTGCATGTTGCAGTTCTTCACTTAAAAATTCTGCTCTCACATTCAGAAATCTTGCTGACTTCTAAATATTATTTGATCTACCTCAAAAATATGGTTTGGAACTCACCTTTTTCTTTTTTTACTTATAGTTCAAACTCCCTCTATGTAAAAATATGAGCCCAATACCAGCCCATCTTTATTAAAGCATGAAGAATGAGCTAAGGGATGCTGATAGTTAAGCCACAAAAACATGTTTTGAGGTGGAGGACTTTTCACCCTCCTTGACACTGGAGGTTTTAAGAGGGTTTGTGTAGCCTAGTGGGTCTGAGTAATGCCTGATGAAATACAGGAAAGGAGGAGTATGTAGGTACTTGTCTGTGCAAGATGCAAAAGTAAAGTAAAATCAAAATAGCAGCAAAAAGGGCCAGTTTATATGGTTAATTTGAAGGAAAAGTATATTTTGGGGTGACATACACTTTGAGGGAAGGGGGTTGTACATACTCAGCAAATGCATCCTCTCTCAAGCGGCTACAGGAACCAAACTACCTTAATCTGTTCTTGCGGCCATGATTTGCAAGTTCTTATGGCTTTTACCTGTTGCATATTCTTAACGGAACTATTTTTTTTTGCATTATCACAAAAATATGAGACAAAACTAAAATTAGAAATTTCTGTTTTTGCTGATTATATGTTGGCTTTTTTCCCCTCTCTCAAATAAAAAATGAATTGTTCTGCCAAAATTTATTTTTTATTTTTGAGCTAATAGAATGAGAGTGTGCCACGGCGAAATCATCAACTCCCTTGAGGTGAACTTTTTGTATTGAAAGGGTTTACTTCAGGTGATGTAGCAAGGTGATTTTAACAGATAAATGTTGAATAAATATTTTCTGATTTGCACAGATGTGTACCAACTAATACATGCAGGCTTGTAGCCTGCAAGAACTGGAAATCTTCCCCGGTATCTCCATGTTTACATTCATGAACCCTGTTTGTTTAATTGGGGTGTGTTTACCTTAATGCAGCAAACTCACTGTTGACCTTGTTTCTGCTTAGTAATTGTAAATGTCATTGTTACTAAGGATAGGTAATATTAACTTAATACCTGCAGCAACAACAAAAGAACAGTATGAAGAAGAACTTAAATTAAAATATCTATTACTTTTAGTTGAAATTAAACAAAAATCTTTAGCCAGGTAAATTATAAATAATAACAATATCCATTCTGATCCTGAGTGTGAAAATGTAATCGTATTACATTAACATACAACAAGTGTCTTCCTTTAGCATCAGATATCAACTTTTTTGTTGCCATTGTTGAATATTGTCCGTAATATCCATCATTTCTGAGAAGTCTGACAAAAATCAGCTGCCAGTGGGAAAGCTGAAGGTCCTCACTGGCCATGAGGAATTCCTCTGGGCCAGAGAAGAACATGTAAAGTCAAACATTAGCATTGAAAAAACAGCCTCTCCTTTAATCTCCTAAGAAAACACTCCCACTTATTGTCAATTTCAGCAACAGCAAGGCTACCTATATCCTGAGGAAGATTAAGAGATTCCTTTCCTCCTTCAGACAAGCCTCCCTCTACATGCACCCACATGCACTGCTGTAGCAAGAGCTGCGAGAATACCGTAAAAGGGAGTTCTAAAGTATTTACTCATAAACCTGAGGTTTTAGTCTCATTTTAGGCATAGTTTTAGCAGGAAACAGGGAGGAAATAAACACACACCTCAGCTCATATTACAACTCCAACCAGCTTTTAATTTCCACTTTATAGAAAATATTAAATACTTTTGAACAGAAAAAAGTTCTGAAATAACTGCCTGTGTGATAGCCTGAAATAACAGGCTATCACACAGGCAGTCTGTTGAAGTTAAATATATTTGTAACAAAAAACAATCAGCTTTTATCCACTCTTCTGTACTTTAAATACACAATTGCTTCTCCATTAAAGACCAGAAATTGCTTTAGAAAAGCTATTTAGCCTTATATTCATTTCTCACTTTGCTCATATTGGTAAAGTTAAAAAAAAGGCAGCAACTTTTCGTCTTTTTTCCGATATGAGATATTCTAGGACTTGATGCCTACTGCATGCTGCAAGTTTGCAACTATGCTAACCGCCAAGACAATCTGAAAAACAAAACAAAAAATTTGGTCTAATTAATTCAGCTTAGTTTAATTAGACTAATTGAAAGAGTCTTAAACTTAAAAGTTATGATAATCACTGAAACACCCATAAGAAGATATTTACACTGAAAGACAAACTGTTGTCAAGTCTCAAATTTTGTGTTAAGTTTTTTTTTCTTTTTCTAAAAGGTGGATGTTATTTCTCTTTAGGTCGATTATGTGGAGAAAAATCTGCATTGATTTCGGAGGAAATCCATGCAGGACTGCTGTTTCTGAATAGTTTATGAAACAGCTGTGCAAACTGTGCATTATTTTTAACGTGGAACCTCAGCTTCCCAACACTTAGATTTTCTTTAAGCCGCTTGGTCTGCAAACAAATGCAAGAAAGAGAGGCTAACCACCAGCTGAAACAACTTCCCTCTCAGGAAGTCGTGACATGGGGGGCTTTCAGACAGGACTGCCATTGAGGCCGGGGTTGTGGACCCATGGCGCTAGGCCTGGGCCTTCTAGTCAGGAACAAGCAGCCACTTTCACTCTCTACTGGTGCAATGAAAGGCTCCATAAAGACTCCTAAGTAATGCTTCTTTTTAATCAAGGCTGCACACCCCTTCCAGCCAAGCACAAACACGGTCACACCCTCCACTTAACAAGAAAGATCTACAGCTATGAATGGGAATTCAGGATGGCTTTTGAAACAGCAGGAAATAAAATCGGGAAAATGTTTCTGGCCTCAAATGGGCATATCTGCAATATGAAATTAAGTCAGAAATATGAAAAAAACGACTGGAATCTCTGTAGTCACTCTGTGCAGCCTAAAAATATGTAGGTGTGAAGGTCTAGATATCTGAAGGTTAATGCTTGATATCATTCAACACATATCAAAGCTAAGAGAAAACATATTTGATGACGACAAAAGGGTGAGAGTATTTCTAAATTCATGATAAAATATTGCTTTGAAGATTAATAAAACAAATTGAAAATAAAATATATTCATGGCCAATAGAGGGCTAGGCATTAAAGTGTGATAAAACCCCATAAGATTAATGTAATTGACAGTTATTTTCGAATGAATAGCATATTAAATAAAGTCTAACCTTTTATGTACAGTATAAGAGTGGGAGATAAATACAACATCACTGCACACAGTCACCGTCTCTGCGAAATCCCTTTCTGTTCCTCGTCAGACCTTACACACTTATCAGGAAACTTAAGTCAGAGCAAAGTTCGGGGGTCAGTCTCATAGGAAGAGGCATTTCTACTGACCATCATCTCTACAGGAAGACCTGCTGACTCTTTGCAAGTAAACTTTCTTTGACTGCTGTCAAAAATGTACATTCTTTCACTCCAAATGTTTCAGCAGCATATTACATATCCAAATACTCCTTAATCCAGAGATTAGTACATTTTGGATTTTTTTTTCCACTTTGCTACTTCATCTTTCCAAGTTTTAAATATTTCCTCTGTCATAAATAATTAACAATAGTCAGACAATACATGTTTAAACCAAACAGACCACCAGCCTTGGCTTTTGGGTATTGCCGTCCCTTTGAAAGGAGCCAGCTTAAAGGTTTCACTGACTCATTGAGGTAAAAATTTGGGGCAGTGTTTAAAAAAAAAACTGACATGATGAAAACACAATGAAATCAAGAGGCGGTAAATCAGCTGAATTAAGGACACTGACCATAAAGGACTAGTACTGTGCTTCCCCATTAAGGGTTATCATCAGCAGTTTGCTAAAAACTCTGAGGTTAAGAGCCTCAAAGCCTGATTCCCTAAATGAATGCAAAAATTGCTGGCCTTGAAGTAGCCAGCCAATCTAAAACCATGATGCTCCCTCCGCCATGTTTCCGTGGACTACAAGTAAACAAACCAAAACCTGGAGATTTATCGGGAGTTTTCAAAGGGAATTCTCTTCCTCCAGCTTTGGCTATAGATTATCATCAACAGTTTGCCCGCTAACTGTCAAGTGAAGAGTCTCAAGTCATGTGTGCCAGAGAAATGCAAATCAGCTCTGCATGTAACCGGAAAATCCCAGCCCCACACCCCTGATTTACATGCTTAAACTCTCAATAAATATAAACGGATATAAAGTGAAATCCTGTGCCAGCCAACATAAGGGTAGACGGTAACTC